TCACCGTTTCTATTCTTAAGCTGTCTAAAAGCTGACTGGATTTTCATTACATTTCAATCCATGAAGGGAACTATATTCTTCCAAAAATCATCATAGTGTTTTCTGCAAAGAAACACCTGGACTGCAGAGTTGGCTCAAAAAGGCTAAACTGAGATGTCAAGATGCTCTGCCATTCCTGATAGATAATAAAATGCATAGCTGAAACCAATCTAAATAAGAGTACCTACAAATACAGTACATATCATAACACTACTAGCCTTTCCTAAGAATTCATTTTAAATTCACAATTGACTTTCCACACCTCTAAACTTCACAATAATTTTTTAAAAATACAAAAACATTTTGATGCGTTTAACATGGATATGATAGAAAAAGCAAACAAATCATTAAATAAGGACTGTTTAAGAAGTTAAAATAAAAATGCAACCAGGAAAAAAAATGTACCTAATATGCAGGAGACAAAGAGGTCAAAAGGCATATTGTTTATATGCATATATACACACATGCACACACACACAAAATACAAAAGTATGCATGGGAATGCTAAACACCGAACCAAGCAGAGTGTCTATCTTTATACATTTTAAATTTTATACCATGTGCATTACTTCAAAATTAAATAAATAAGTATTCTAAAATCAAATCAACTAACTCTTTATGCTATTTTCTAACTTTTTAATCAAATCCTTTTCTCTGCCTTAAGTCTCCTGTCTTATGAAAATTGTCTCACCCTACCCCCACCAAAGATTATGATTATAAAAAATCCAATGAAAAAGTTCATTTTTTAATTATTTTCTCTCATAAGTAACACATTCACTGTAGAAAAAGTAGAAAATTCTTATGAGCAAAAATAAGAAACCTATACCTACCATCTATGGATACCAACTGTTAATATCTGATACACATCCTACCAGCTTTTGTTTTTGCATATATGTTTATATGTGTATATGTGTGCACTTCCTATACATTTTTACAAATATGGTATCACTGTGCATCTTGTATACTTTTTATTGCCAACCATTTAATCTAACCTAAATTTATCTTGTTCACACTATACAACTAGCAAATACATATATGCTATAACAAAATTATATAGAAAAATAGGAAAGAAACAAAAAAATGAGTGAAACGAATCTGGCAGTCCAAGAACTTGCTGATATGATGATTTACAGACAATAGANATGAGTGAAACGAATCTGGCAGTCCAAGAACTTGCTGATATGATGATTTACAGACAATAGATATAAAAAAGATAACTAAGGTTTAATTACTCAGACATAACTTAGATATGAGAGATCATGGAG